TTCATTTCTGCTCTTGTGGGTCATATAGGAAAGTGACTCCAGAGTGTCAGAGGTCTCTGTTTAACAGCAATAAAGTTTTGGCAGCTATGGAATGATTCAGTGCAAGGTTGATCCCTCTTTTTAAGTGTCTAAATGCAGCTGTATCTGTCCATGATCTAGGTGTTTAATCTCCCATTACAGTCAGTGGAGATTTAGTTAATGTTAAAGTAGCTCTCTCCCTTTGATCATTTGAATATCTTGACAGCCTTGATTGACTGTACATACTATTAGATATCCACTGACTCTAATGGAGTCAAGATGCCTTGTTTACCTGCAGGACCTCAACAAAGATGTCTTTATGGACTGTATCCAACAGTAGCATCTTTGTGTTTCCGTATATCTGGCCTATGTGTTAATATAAATTTGTATATTTTTAAGGTTCTAAAAAGGCTACTGGTTTTGTTGATACGGCTGAAAAGGCCATCTTGTTCATGAACCAAAATTGTGTGTGATGTATGCACTCCAGTGTGGTTAAGTACTCATTCCTGAACTTCTTGAAAATATCTGAATGTTTTGTTATTATCATTGTCTGAACTGAGTAAAAGATTTATTAAAATTTTATTTTGCATATGCCTACCTAAAATGAGTTTTGACAAATATACAGATTGGTCAAAACAATCTTTTTTTTTTTTTTTTTAATACTGTGGATAACTACTGAAAATGAAACAGGGCTCGGACTAGAGCATAGATTTTGATAATCCCAGTCCTATGGTGGTGAATTTTGTGGTAAGTATTGCTATATTTTCTATTCTTCTTTTTTTAGTTACTTATTCACTTTAAGATACTTTGTGACCTTTGTTAAGCATATAGTTATTTGATTTTGTGCTTTCTAACAAAATCCTACTGCAGGGACACATTTTTACTCTATTCTTGTGTGAAAGAATCTACTAAATACATAATAGAACCAGACTGAACAGATTACCCTTTATTTTTTCAGATCTCACAGGAAATATTCAGTGGGTGGCTATTGTCAAGGGAGCAGACAGAAATAATTTGGGACTCGGAATTGGTTATTATACATGCTAGAACTAGATTGAAACACAAATAAGGACATTGTTCTTTTTATGTTCCTATCACATACTTGGGAAACTCCTCCTCAAAAGGCGCCTCTTACTGACTTTGATAGTGTTTTGCTGAGCAGTTCTATTATCTTATGGATTGTTAATTAGCTTATGGTCAGTAGTTTGACTGCTCTTACCTTGCTGCATATCAAAGGAACCCTACATGCATTTAGGGAGCTGAAAGGAGTTCTGAAATTCACATAAAGGGAACTAAATAAAGGAGGTGCATATAGGGCTTGAATTTTGTATTTTGTTTTTCATTCTAAAAGTCTAAATCTGTTAGTTATCGTCTCTAGTGATGAGTCACTACCCCAGTGAGCATTTTGTAATTGGTGTCTGTGAAACATTGTATTAATGGACTAATTTTTTGGCAGTACTTTGCTATTCTAGAAGAAAATTGTCCTAAAGGATAACTTTTCTCTTAAGAAATTTTTATAGATAATTGTACTATAGTAGTGCCCATGTATCCACTTCATTTAGTGACTTGTTCATCTCTTTCTAATACTTTGCAGTAAATTTCACCAGTATATCTGGAAAAAGATTCTTTGTCATTTCCAAATGGCATTCATTAGACTAACCTAAAGCTGTGTCTAATGATATACACCGAATTCAGTTCATCTCAAGATGAGAAAAATAAGTAATTTCCATTTTATTTTTTTTAAGTGTATTTGAAAACATATTTTTTGTATCTCTGATTCTGTAGAGAGTGGTCCTTTAGTAACTGAAGGTCCCACCAGGGCATTTTTGTCTGTTACTGATGGACCACTCTCTACTACATCAAAACCTGTCATAAGATTTGCAGTTCCTTGTTTAATTTAAATGGAAATTTCATACTTATCCTGTATTGGAAATTAGCAGATCTGGACTCTAGCCTTATATTTGCCTTCAGCAGCATGCTTTAGGCAGCGTATTGTTGGGATTTCCCCACACTAAAATGTATTTACACACCCAAGTTTGTTCTTTCAGTTTCTAGAAGAAATCCCATTCAGTAGGGATCAGTTTACTTCTGAGAACTCTTGTTCTGTAGCTTCCTTCCTGGAATCATTTACTAAGGAGACTTTCTATGCAATGCAAAGACTGAAATTATTTCTAAGGGTAACACTTTGCTTCAGTGTCTTGACTTAAAAATTCACCTAGTTCAGGAGCATATGGTGAGGTGGCTGACTTTAGCTGAGCTTCAGGTATTTCATGTAGTCACTCTGTCTTTTCAAAGTTTTTTAGTCATCTGTATTGCAAGGATGTTTTAAGTCCAGTCTTCTTAGCTTCCTTTTTTCTAAGCTAAGTCACAATCTATACATACTTTTCAGTTGATGAAAGGCCAAAAATCTGTTGTTCCATGTGAGCACAAGTATGTTGCTGGAACACGTCTGCTGAAGAAATCCTCTCACCTTGTCTGTGAATGTTTGTCCAGTTGTGGCTTCTAGTCACTTGCTGCTTAAGGGGATGTGTAGGTTTTTATTGCCCTTGATCACTGATTTTGACAGATTCAGCCTTCATTTTTTTTTGAAAATTCAGCTCCCAAATCCTTAATATTAAAACAATGTTTGTATTAACTAAAACCATTTTCTTTGCTTAATTTATTACAATGTAGTTATCTAAAAGTTCAGTCTCACTGTTATCATTAAAACTGCTTTGAAGATAAAATTAATCTTCTTCGAATTATTAAAAACTGAAAAAAAGAGAACATACTAATTTTCACTTTTTATCTTTTGAGCTTTCCATTGGAAATGAGCCTGTGTGGTTTCGCAAGGTAACAGTTCTTTGATTATATTCTCTCAATTTGTTACCATGGTAAATTTTGATTTCTGAGTTGTGGTCCCTGATCAGATCTGAACTTGCTCGTAAGGTCCCAGAGGAAGGAAAAAAAAACAACAAAACAACACCAAAATCCCAAAACAAAATCATTGCACAATCGTTCTGGCTCCAGGAAGTTACATATTATTTTAAAAGAAATATATTTATGCATTTAAAGAAGGGAGCTATAATGAAAAGAGAGTATTGATTCTCTGTTGTGGTCCACTTGCGAGCTCACAAAACTGAAAGTAGCACAGCTGGACGTCAGGCAGTCAAAAATGCAGAGTGTTTTACAGACTTGTTGGGGACCGAAAGTGTTTATTAGGTGGGTGAAATTGGTTTTGACATGAGTCAGAAATGGCAAGTCATCCTGTAATGGGTCGAAATTTTCTTCATCTTTTGTGGATGAGAACTGCAGTCATGTAAATCAATGTCATCTGCGGTGAATTTGGGCCAGAAGTCATTAGTAACTGAATACTTCTGGTGATTTGCTCTAAGTCACTTCAGTGCTTCTCGTTACCTTGCCACCCTTCCTCTTTGTCAGTGATTTAAGCTCAAGCAGAATAATTGAAAAAAAATTCTTGAAGGTACTCTGCTAATCCCCAGAAGGATTGCAAGTATCTGTGAATATGTGAGAAGATAAAGTTGCTTCATCATTTTTACCTTTTCCCAGGCTGGTATTGGAAGAATTGGCACATAGCTGTCAGCATGAATCAACAAGGCAATGATTTGGATCAAAATCAGAGTAGTTAAAAGTAATTAAATTTGTTTCCTCTGATGTGTGGAAAATGAGTAGTTATTAAAAAAATAGGCATAACCAAGATCTCCAGAAACAGCAGACACTCTGGTGCAGAGCCACAAAGCATTAAGGCACCTGTGAAATTCTAGGAGAGTCTGATCTTCCAATTGACATGTGGTTGTGAGGAGGGTGATACCAGGTTTATTTGATTATTTACTTTGTAGTAGTCCTTTATGGTGTCTTTAGATTGTTTAAATTCTGCTTAACAGTGGGTATGGAGCTTCATGAAGGTTGATCAGTGACGTTCCTGATTAGGTCCCTGGCTTTTCTAAGCACATAAAATAGGAGTGGTCACAAGCAGAATTAAGCACAGCAGGTGTCCCAGTTCTGTCACTGGTATTACTGTAATTTTTTGAGAATTGTCTGATTCTTAATTACCAAGTCTTGGTGTGAAAGTGTGCAGGACTCGTCAGCAAAGTTAGTGAATTCATATCAAGCAGCACGCTTCACTTTGTAGTGTGATGCATCATACATACGTATGCTTGTGATAAGTCATATGGATCCAGCATCAATTGGTGATCTTTGTCAGTTTTGTTTTACCCTTCTCAATGAATGTGCTTCTAGTTGGTTTTGGGTTGTATTCTAGAGTGCATCAAACACAGCATGACCAGCTGGTCAAAAAGGGTGATTGTCCTGCTGTATTCAGCGTTGGTGTGGTCTCACCTTGAGTGCTCTCTGCAGTTCTGGGCCCCACAATTTGAGAAGGATGTGAAGGTCCTTGAATGCGTCCAGAGGAGGGCAACAAAGCTGGTGAAAGGGCTGGAAGGAATGTCCTGTGAGGAGCGTCTGAGGACTTTGGGCTTGTCTAGTTTGGAGAAAAGGTGCTCTCTGCAGCTTCCTAAGGAAGGGAAGTGGAGAGGGAGGTGCTGAGCTTTTCTCCCCAGTGATAGGACACGTGGGAATGCTTCAAAGCTGCACCAGGGGAGGTTTAGACTGGACATTGGAGCATTTCTTTACTGAGAGGGTGGTGAAGCACTGCAACAGGCTTCCTAGAGAGGTGGTCGATGCCCCAAGCCTGTTGGTGTTTGAGAGGCATTTGGACAATGCCCTTAACAACATGCTTCAGCTTTTGGTCAGCCCTGAGTTGATCAGGCAGTTGGACTAGATGATCATTGTAGGTCCCTTCCAATTTAAATACTTTGGTCTGGTCTCTTCTGTTCTGTTTTCATACAGAGTTTCACAGAAGGAAGAAATAATTCATCTAATGGGTATTAGTTTTAAGTTATGTATTATTTCTGTTATTTTCTAATTATCAATAGCTTTCTCTTTTAAGTTATTTCTAGCACTGGTAACTTATAGATGGAAGAATGGATCCCTTGTGTTGGCCATCAGAAACTAACAGCTTTCGGCGTTTCACACCTGAGTCCTTGGCAGCAATTGAGGAAAGAATTGCTAAGAAAAAAAAGCAGCAAGCCAAAGTTAACCAGAACAATAAGGACCAAGATGTTGAAGAAGATAGACTTACTCCTCAGCTTGATCTGAAAACCTACAAAAAACTGCCATCTCTGTATGGAGATCTTCCCGTGGAGCTCATTGGGGAACCACTGGAAGATTTAGATCCATACTACAGTGATCACAAGGTTAAAACTTTCAAAAGCATTTTTTACATTTAATTTTGTCTGCTGAACTGTTAAGAGATAGTAAAAGCCCTATTCAGGAGTTGCTGGTTTTTGATTGTTTTGTAGACAGATATTTGAACATTACTAGCGGGTTTTGGGGCAGGAGTGCTAAGGTATGCTCCACATTATATAATGAAAAGGGACTTAAGTCCCTGTCAGCAATCAGAATTAATCTTGAAGACTTGATACACTTGATAAATACACTTTGATAGGAAATATATTCTAGGATAACAGATGCTTTGTTTTCCAGAGCACTTTCTATTATGTCGGTGGGGCTGAAATCACTTGTATAAACACTTCATGTTAGGCAGTAGATCATACTGGTATTGCTGATTTACTACAGATGTTTTTGCTGAATTACAAATATTACAAAAATTAGGGGAGAGATCTATCTGTGTAGCAGAAACATATATTTCCATTATAGTAAACTAATTTTCTGTTATGTCTAATGAGCTTTGTTTATTGTACCATATTTATGTTGCATATACTCCATGCTATTTTGAAGTGTTTTGTGTTGTTGCCTGTAGGAGTGTATAATCCCTTCAAAATGAAATGTCTTTTGTGTGGTTGCTTCCTGTTGAGGGGGACTTGACCTGAAGAGCTGAAGGTTCCATCCAGTCCTATGTTGCTGTCTTTTATGTATGCCACCAAGTCACTGGAATATAATTTAATACGAGAACATGCAGAAAGCTTTGTTCTTCCAGAGATTTTTTTTCTGAAAATAATCAAAGTGATATTCTTGATGAAGAGAAACTGAAGCTGATTCAGTTGAAGAAATTTAGATAGAAGTTAGTGAACTGTGGTTTTGATTTAAGAGATTTAATTTTTAGTTCATGTGGCAAAAGTACTGAGCTGCATGGACCTTAAGGTAGCTTGGAGGGAATTTATGGTGCTACTTGTTAATTTAGAGATATTTCAAAATTAAAATTTTTGCTTTGACTGGACTGGATTCTCTCAGTATTTTGTAAATAATCTTTTGTACCCCATAAGACTATCCAAGCGCAAGGTACTTTTGAGTATAATTAATGCCATTGTTGCAGTCCCAGAATAGTATTCTCTGATTACTTTGACCAAGAGAATATGATGACTTGCTCTTCAGATTCATTTATTACTACTTCTTTCTCACAGGCAATAATGAACTTCCATGTAGCTGGTGTCTTTCTTTCAAAATGTAGTATCATCAGGTCCCAGCTCCAAGAAAAAATATAGGAAAGCTTTACTTGTAATTGTAGTTATAGTTCTAGATGAAGATTTGAAAACCTAAACATTTAATTTTTGCAGAAAATTTTGTTTCATTAAAATATTCCATACAGTATGAATGTTTTCTTTACAGACTTTTATGGTGATAAATAAAAGGAGGATTATTTTCCGGTTTACTGCCACACCTGCCTTGTGTATTGCTGGTCCTTTTAATCCTGTCAGAAAAGCAGCAATTAAAATTCTGATCCATTCATATCCTTTTATTGGTTTCCCTTATTTCAGTTTTTAAACGTACTGTACCATTTTATGTCGTTCTGTTCCTCTGTTTGTATTAATGTACGTGTAAGCTCGTGTAGCTGTGATAGAGATTTTTAAAAAGTTATACGGGATCTTGTTTTACAACAGCTAAGATATTTACATGGGGTGTTGGTACAAGTGAAAATGTCAAAAAGCTCATATTTAATATCAGTTTTGCAGATATTGTTATGAAACAACATTTAGAGGCTACTGCTTGATGTTTTAGCCCATTTCCAGAGCTTTTTCTGAATCTCTATTCTGGTGACAAGCTTAAATGTAAAACAAACAAACAGAAAAAACAAACCCCAAAAACAAAACCCCAAACAAAACCAGTGACTCCATAGTTAGTAAACATGAAGGATGTGATTTATGGCAGTGCTTTTCTGAAAAAGTCTGATTTTATCCTAAGAAATGTATTTCACACTCAAGTTTAGAGAGAGTGTCCCCTTTTTATATTTTTGCAGAAATGTAAAGGTGGTTTGAAGAATGTAAAAATGTGAAAGATTGCAGGTGCAAAACCATAGGCAGAGTAGTTTCTGCTCTTTCTGCCAGACATCTGTTTTCATTTGGAGTTATTAATTTGTAGAAATAAGTCCTTTTATGGGAACATTGTCTTTATGGAAGACATTGAGGTTTCTGGAGTTTCAGATAACAGTAGACAGCAGAAGACTCGGATTTTTTTTCATTTATTTATGTTCCTCATCTCTTCTGTCAAACATACTACGTCCTACTAGTGTCCTAACTTCCAAAACTGTATCCACATGCAGATAATTCATTGTTATTTTTAAATCACGCAGTTTACCCAGCTGAGCAGAAGTTTGATCTGAAATCAGTTTCTTTGGGAAAAACATGAAAAGTCTGGAGCACATACAAAAAAAAAGCAACTTTTCTGAATATAATTGTTTTATAATACAGCACTTTTTCCTTAACTTATTATTCACATTATTTGTTGGCTTTATTACATGTACTGTGGTACTCAATTGTGCTTCCATGGCTGTAACTACACTTCCAGACGAACTCAACTGGACTGAGTAAGTATCTCAGTTGCCGCTTGTTCACTCTTTTTCTAAGGGTACTAATATGCTGGACTGAAAAATTTAAATAATGTGGTGATCTAATTCTGGGGCTGGAAAATTCTCAGACAGACCTCTGAGGAAGATTTAGGATTATTATTATTATGTTACACAGACTTCTGTGGAGTTTTGTTGTGTTTTCATAGAGGCTTACACCATATGCCTTTTTCTCTACATTGGCTAATTTTACCATCTGGTGTAACATAGAAAGTTGCCCCATTTTTCTTTTTATAGGATTAAACCTTTTAGAGAGTCTGTGCCGCAGGATTCTAACTTAATATCTCTCATTCTAAGGCAATAACCTGAATCTCTGTTATGACAGGCTTATGCAAAAAGTACAAACGCCATTCTTTTGTGCTGTTTCCTGGGGACACTGCTAGTTCAGTTGTTCACATTAGTAAGCCATCTATTTATAAAGTCTTTTTACTTTTTGTGATTGTGCACTGTATCCAGTGTAACTTGAGTTAATGTTCTAGAACTAAATCCTGAAAATGTGCCTGGAGCCTCAGGAGTTCTATAATTTTAATTCCTCTTATTTTGGGGTAAGCATGGTGATAATGATAGCTTAATTTTATGTAGGATTTCTTTCATTTATAGAGTATTTGTTAGAATAAATGTATAAAATTTGCAAACTTTACAGGCTAAAATAAGACTTTGCTGTTGTTGTTCTGCCAAAATGTTGAGGCTTTGAAAATTTCCAGACTGCTTTAGAACATACAGTCTTGAAAATTTTTCATAAGAAAATGTGTTCTGTCCTTCATCCAGAAGTAGCCTGGTATGCTTATGTAAACATTTGTGATTATAGATTTATAGGCAGGAAGGCATCTTCTTATACCCATGATGTTTCTGAAAGTAACGTAACCTGTCCTATCTTCCTTGACATTTTCTACCTTTATCTCCACCCAGTGACTTAAATCATAGAAAAGGTAAAAGTGTGCCTGAATGTGTCTCAATCTCAGTAATATTTTTATTTCTAGAACTTTAATATGCACTTTCCTTCTCAGATATCTTTTTACTGGCATATATACTGGTGAAATAATTATAAAAGTATTAGCAAGAGGATTTGTTTGGAATGAATTTACCTTTCTTCGAGATCCATGGAACTGCTTGGATTTTGTCGTTATTCTTGTAACGTAAGTAAAAACCAGTTGTTCTTTTACACTCAAGGGGCAAACACAAGGGTAAAATGCTATTTGATATTGCTGTTCTTCGGAGTGGTTGGCATCCTACCTGCTTAACAGTTACTGTGGATGAGTCACCCTTTGCATATCTGCAAAGAGAAAAATAATCATAGACCTTAAAGCAAGACCTAAATGCAAATTGAACTGTTTGATTGTTCTCAGTTTAGTGTGTATTTTTAAACTTTGTTAAGAGACGATTGCCTAGATAGGTGAAACCAAGCATGCCTCTTTATATTGTCTTCGTTGTACTCTGAATCAGATGAAACTCATTTGAGAAGGATCCAAAGTGGTTCACAAGGTGTTGAATAACATGGTGATAAACAGCAGATGAAATCCCAAGAATGTAAAGTGATGCTCAAGGAAAACCAGACCTAGCTTTACATACACAGTTATGGGCTTTGAAATAGCTTTCACATGTTGGGCAGACGATGTTGGAGTTAAAATAGAAATCTTGTGAAAACACTGCTTCAGTGTGCACTCATGGTCAGAGAAGGAAATAGAAATTTAGGACATTATGGGTGAGAAATAAAGAAGCCACTGTGTGGCTTGTATTTTTCTTCAGGACTATATGCAGATTTGCTCCTGACATCTCAAAAGCTGATAGAATTAAAAAAAGATACAGAGTAGATGTATATCTTGTATGCCACATAATGAGAAACTGAATAGAGTAGAACTCTCGTGAAAAAAATACAGATCAGGAAAAATATTTGAAGTCTGTGGCACAGAGCCAAAAAGGGAATAAATAATTAGTTTTTTTCCTCCTTCTCTGGGAGCTAAAGGCACCAAATGAAGTTGTCAGATTGCAGAATAAAAGAGAAGGGAGTAGTTTTTCACACTACATGTACGGATATTCTCATAGGAGGCTGTGGATCCAAAAACTGAGTTGCATTCAGAAGGCTTCTGGACAAAATCCTGGATGAACACACATAAGGGTTATTTTTAACAAGAAGATACTATGTCTTGTTCAGGAAGTCACTGAGCTCTAAGTTTGCTGGAAGAATTAAATTTGGGAAGTATCACTGCCTTGATTCTAAAGTTCCCTGCAAGCATCTGTTGTGAGTCATTCTTGAAGACAGGGTAATAGGCGAGATGGATCACTGCTGAGGACAATTTTAAATTCGTAACAAAACCAGCTAGCTAGGTGGAGAAGAAATGAGGAAGAAACCAAGTTAGAATTTGCATCTCGAATATGGAATGTTAATCTTGAAAGCAAAATAGTTGTACTTGCAGCAGTGAACAGACTCAGTCGTGCAGTCTCAGAGCTTTCTAAGCAAATTTCTGTGATTTAGCATTTCTGAACAGTTGTCAGTTGTCTTGTTCTAATTTATTAGAGGTGTAGTGTAATTTAGATTGGAAGGGACCTCTGGAGATTATGTGGTCCAGCTCCATGCTAAAAGCAGGACTAGTTTAGATTGAGTTGCTTAGGACCTTGTCCAGTCAAATTCTGAGTTTCTCTAAGCATGGACATTCTGCAAGCCATTCCAACCACACTGTGTTGTTTTTTTTCTCCCCAATTTCTAGCTGAAATGTCTCGTGTAGCAACTTCATGTCCATTCACAATTCATGTCCATTCTGACATAAAAGAAGTCTTATAAAATATGGGGTAACCTGTTAAAGTGATGTATAGAATATGCAACTCTTAAAATCCTAATTTTCTGAAATTCTGATATTGTTGAAAATATTAAATTGACACTAATTACGATACTCAAGTTCTTAGCTGACTGCTAAATGAAAGGTAGAAAGACAGCCATGTGGTCTAAGTCAGATTAGCCTCAGTATGAGAAGGTGTGGTTATGACATGGAAAGTGTTGTATTTATTTGACATTTTGGTGAATAAACACTTCAAAAGTTAAGCATTCAAATCCACACTTAGTAAAATCTTGCTGTGTTTCTTTTTAGAGGCACTATTCAAAAGTCCTATTATTTTGTATCAATACCTAGAAACAGATTTCGATTCCTAACTTTAGACACCTGTCTTTGGACATACTTGACCTATTTCTTTTCTGTAACTTATTCATTACTGTGTGCTCAATATGCATATGCTCTGAAAAGCTAGATCTTTCTCATTCGGTTATATGGTGGTTTAATTTTATAGGTATGTTACTTTGTGTAAAAGTCCGGGCAAGGTTTCAGCTCTTCGAACTTTCAGAGTACTGAGGACTTTGAAAGCTATTTCAGTAATACCAGGTAAGGAACAACATGTCTTACTGATTTTCTCTCTTCTTCAGCAGTATGATGTTTCTAAGTCCTCTCCTGTTCTTGTCTTCAGTTTTCTGGTCACTTTTTGTGATGGTTAAAGGGATCCCAACGTGTGACTCTTTTACAGTCTGCAGTACTCTCAGCAGCATCCTAACTGAATATTTTTTTACCATTTTTTCCTCAAAATTATTTTGACGCAGGCAAATTTTTGTATTTTCTTCTTTTTCTATCCCATCCCTAATGTTCAGTTTTATTTAGCCTAGTGCCTTTCTCTTTTTACTTTTGTCTTTTCTGAGCAGAACACCCTGTTCAATACGTTGTCTTAAGATAATATGGCTATGCCACAATATTTCTGGTTTCACATTATACTTAGTGTCATCTTCTATGGCTTATTTCCCAGAATGCTGACAGTATTTCAGAGTTTCGTTTGTTTGTTTACTGACCATGGCCACTATCTGGATTTAGCACAATACTTTCAACAATATTTTGCATATGCTGTCCAGATATTTGATATTTTTGTAAGTTTTGCCACTAATTAGGATACCAAAGTATGGATTTCAAAATCTAACTGCAAAAAACTTATTGGAAAAATCTATAAATGACAATATATCCTATTGTCAGTCTGTCCATTTCTCTCTTGTACTGGGAGCCCAGAAGTGGGCCCACTACTCCAGAGGTGTCCCCACTGGTGCTGAATGGAGGGGAATGATCACCTCCCTTGTCCTGCTGGTAATACTTTGCCTAGTGCAGCCCAGGATACCATTCACCTTCTTTGTCAGAAGGCAACATTGCTGACTCGTGTTCATCTTGGTGTCCACCAGAACTCCCAGGTCCTTTTCTGCCCAGCTACTTTCCAGCTGGGTGGCCCCCAACATATATTTGTTCCCTTCCCAGTGTCATAAAGTCTTTTTTCTTTTAAACTGGTGACATCTGTAGGGCATTATCTTCTAAGCCAGAATTCCCTGAGGTCAGGAGAAGCTATCCTGTATTGTAATGTGTATTTGGAACAATGTGAAGTACTTGTTTAATGTTAATTGAGCACAGAAATCTGTCCACATTCATTAAAGTTCATAAGAGTTTGCTTAGATGACACCTTAATTTAGAATTTTCAAGTTAGCAAAATTATTATTAGCTGGAAGAAAAAGCCAAGTAAGTTATGATTAGGAAATTTAAGTAAAAATACTTAACACATTCTTATGCTTTATTTTACCTCATTTAATATTCTGAAGCTACAAAACCATTTACACTCATTGTTTTTGATGTGTGTGCAATTGTTTATTGTCATATGGGAACACAACTGCATTCCTCTTCTCGTTTTGCTTGTTATTGAATTTTGTTTTTCTAGGTCTGAAAGTCATCGTAAATTCACTTATTGAATCTGTTAAGAAACTTACGGATGTGTTGATCTTGACTGTTTTTTGCTTGAGTGTATTTGCTCTAATAGGCCTCCAACTTTTTATGGGTAATTTAACATCCAAATGTGTCCTCAGCAATGCTACATACGATGACACATTATGTAAGGATGCCAAGATATATGTACCAGATGATACAGGTAAATTTTATTCTTTTCTCTCTTTACATAATCTGTGTATCTTCTTATGTATGTCTTGTTTTATAGAATCATAGAATGCTTTGGGTTAGAA